CTTCACAGCAGGAAGCAGATACAGAAGAAGAGACCTCTTGTCCCTCAACATCCACACTACTAATAAGTAAGGAGGTTCATGGCTCTTAGAAAAGAGGCAGGAAAGTTAGGTAGGGGATTCGGTCTACCTGCAAAGACACTAGTCATCCTATCCTAGTCTGCCCCAGTCCACCCACAATTAAGCAAGCTAGAAGGCATTTTTAGGCTAAAAGTAACTTCCACAAAGAAACGAGTAAGCAGAGAATTAGGTACCAGTTTAAGCCAGTCACTTGCACCTGGGCAAGGAAGACCCCAACCACCTTCAACTCACCTGAGTCTCATTATAATGATAATATGGTGCATATGCCCAGAATTTCATTAATATCATTATAACAGACTGAATTCTGGGAAAGAACACGCACAGAAAGTAAATGATGAATCACTGAATCCTGTCAATCTTAGTTGTCATTCAAGAAAGCCCACCCCTCTAAGAAAAGTAACCGCCCACATCAAGTAGGAACAAAAACCCCAAAGGCTTTATTATTAGGCTTTTTGGCACACTTCCACATCTGGAGGTGTATTTTCCCTTCTAATAAAGCTTTTCTATTCTGCTGTATTTCGATGTCTTGCTCAATTCTTTGTTCGAGACATCAAGAACCTGGACAGTGCGCTGGGAGAGGATCCCCACTCTCTGGTAACAAACTCAGTCATTTGGGCTCCTGAGTTTACATTCTTGATCACTCACTTACTTATCTTCTAGATGTATGACAACCCAAAGATATTCAGTCTCTCCTCCCTCCCACCTGCCTGCCTGCCTCCCTCCCTCCCCTTATTCCCTTCACGCACCCACTCACCCACCTACCCACCTACCCACTTATCTATTCTTCTGTTCACCCGCCCAACCAGCCATCCATTCTCTCCTTCCTGCCTTCTACCCACCAATACTGAGTGGGCCCTTGAGTATGGACTGAGGATACCCCACGGAAATATACACAAGTGACAGCTCTCACAGAATCTGTGAAGTGACAGACAGAAGGAAGTATTGGACAAGAAGGAAGTATTGGACAAACTAAACAAATTGGACTAATTGTCGTAGATAACCAACGGAAGGGTAAGGTAGTGACATTTAGAGGCACATTAAATGCTAAGCTCCTAAGCACTTAGGCCGAAGTAATAGCGATGCAGGACAGGGCAAATTCCCCCAAGCTGGGGGGATACCAAGCCCTGCACCAAGGGAAGAGGGTCCTTTGACTGAGAGTGTAGAAAAATTCAAGACACACACCAAAGGTAGAGTCAAAAGGAAAGTGTATTAGAAAAGGGATAACACTTCACAGAGTGTGGTCTCCTCTCAGAGGCAGAGAGTGAGAGGGACAGTGAGAAACAGTGAGAGGGACAGTGAGAGAGACCCAGAGGGACAGAGACCATAGAAACGAGGACAGAGAGAGAGACAGAGTAAAGATGAAGAGGAATTTTCACTCAAAAGGCTAATCTTGTAATCAGCTCTTTGTTCTGCTTCTGTAGATATGCTTTGCTGCATAGGCCGCAGGGCAGGGTGACCTTTAAATTAACTAAAGACGCGTCCTCCCTTTTGCTTGTTCTGTCTAAATAACAAATGTAACTGCCTGTAACTCATAGCAATTTGTAACCATCTGAGGACAAATTAACCAGTCGACCCATGCCAAATAAGCCCTGTAAGAGCAAAGTTGCCCCTGAGCTCAGGGCCCAGATCTTCAGAGCACTAGCTTGTCTGGGACCACCGGCATAGTAAACTTGAGTTCTCCAAATCTCCAAGTGGTGCTTGGTTTCTCACCAGCCCAATTTTGCAACAATTCTGCAACAAAGGCACTGAGGGGGACAGAGGACAGAGAAAGAGTCAGAGTAAAGGTACTGAGAGGGGCCCTGAGTGTTTGGGGAATTCAATTTATATGTCATTCTTTAGTTCCTGTGAGTTATAGTTTAAAAGACTTTGTTAACCCATTTCCTTCGATATGGACATACGATGAGGAAGGGGAAGAGTATGTAGCCTGAAAAGGTATATGAATATGTAGAGCGAAAGGCCTGCTGGCAGTTCCCAGCCTTTAATCCTTAGGTTCCTCAAGGTTTTCGCCATAGAGAATGACTCTTGGTTCCTGTTTCCCCTTCACAGGTGCAGGGGGAATGGGCCGCTAGCAATCCCAGCAAAAATCTTCCTTTGTTCTGAAGGTGTCCTGGCCTGGCTGCAGGGCTGATCAGCATATTGCAACTTCTTAATTCTCTTGCCTCCTCCCTACGTTATTAGCACATGCAAAGGCACTTGAAGTGAGAGAAAATGTGGCTTGCTTCAAGAATTTGAGAAGAGTGTGGCAGAACAGAGTGAGTAAGCAAAGGATACTTGGAGGCAGGGTCAGGAAGTCACACATCATGCCCACCACGTGAGAATTTGCCAGATGAGGCAAGGAAGGTAGATATGGTTCCAAGGGAAATTGGGAGTCTTCCGAGGTTTTCATCAGAGTTAATCCAATTTACTTTTTTAAAAGAGTGCTCAGGTCATAGAGAGCAGATGGAATGCAGCAGAAACCACTTAACCCCTTATTTTAAAAAAGTAGATGCTTTTGAAGGTGGAAATTTAACA